TGGTGAAACACATGGCCCCTTAAATGGCTTTTATGGGATCTTATTTAAAAATATTAAAATGTTAATAAAATAACGGGGTGTTTACATGCATTCAATTCCCATAAATTAAAATATCTAACACCTAAATTAAGTTTTTTTTTTCTTTTACATTTATACCTCCCAAATCTTTCATATCTCATCTAAAATATCATCAGTTTAACTTTTTAAAAAGTGAAATACATATTTTCATTCATAGGTGATGTGGCTATTGGCAACAATTTTTAATGTTCACACGTGCAAGATGTCCACTTGATTGGCTTGGGATGATTCACTACTCACTTATAACATCCAGTAGCTCAAGACACCCATCTAAGACTTCATGATACATGTTCGGGGCACGAAACCATGGTCTGCAATGATTTGACTTTGCCCAGAAGAATCCACCATTTGACAGGCTCATTCAGAACATAGGATATGTTCGGGGTCCATTCTAGTGTTTAGAGACAATGTCATATCCATACGGAGTCTCCCGTGGACAAAAGAAGCCATCGAAGTTTCTCGTGGACGTACCGGAGAGATTATGGTTCAGAATGTTGTACCCACACCATATTTTTAGGCGCTTGTTAGCACCAAAATCCATCGATCGAGATCCATAAAGATGTTTATTTTTGGAGTTATTATACTATATTTTAGCCATATTTAGTTTTTTGTAGCTTACAGATCAAAAAACCCCTTCATCAGACACTTTCAGTGAAATAGGGCTTTCGGGGCTAGACTGACGCCTAAGCGTCATCCCCAAGCACCAGCCCTAAGCGCCTAGTCACTCAGAACAGCCCCACAAAACTTAGAATAGAGAAGACCTAAACATGGCACCATGGAGCGCTCGGAATAGCCTTCACGGGGCTTAGAGCAGAGAAGACAAAAGCCCCGGCACCAGGTCCTGGCGCCAAGCTCAGTGCCTAGATGCCAGTTTTAAGTGTTTATGCCTCAAAAACAACCAAAAAATGGTCCTAAAACTGAGTCAGCAAAAACCCAACGTCAGTCTAGGGAGCCTAAGCGCCAAAAACAGCTTGAAACTGAGCCCCAAAAAACCGGCTCCAGACACAGTGCCCTAGCACATAGGCGACAAGTGCACGACACTTGGGCACTAGACCAATTTTCACTCCCATAATTTTCATGATTTTGACCCCTGCACCCTGCCTTAGGCAGCCAAAAAGAGGGATTTCATGGAGTTATGTAGAGATTTTTTTAAGGGGAGATAAAGTGGGGATTAAACCCCTTCTGAAAGCTTCTTTTGAAAGTTGGCATGCCACTTTAGGCAAATAAAGGAGGAAATTTTGGGTTATTTAGTTGATCTCCCTCAGGGAGCTTCCAAAATAAAGCGCTTCAGCTTTTTTTTTCTCTCCTCCAAGAGTTGAACTCACATTCTTCCTAGAGAGCTCTATAGCCTTTTCTTCCTTAGAGCTATGGTTTTCTCTTGAAGGCTTTGAAGGTAGAGTGTTGGAGAAAGGTGACAGTGAGGACTTCTTTTCTAAAACACTCTTCTTCATATTCTTCCTCTCCTTCTTCATTTCCACCAAGGAAACCCCTCTTCTTCCTTCATCTTCTTTCTCTTCCTCCACTATTTCATCTAAGTGTGTGAGGAAATTTTCTTGAGGAATAGCTTGACCAACAAAGAAATGAAGGCATCGTCTCTCCTATGCCGAAGGAGAGCTTCTTCATATTTTGGGGAAGGGTCAGCAGAGCTTTGTCGAAACTTCACCAGAGCTCGAAAGTTCATCAGACTCTCTGTCTAAAGGAGAACCTCTTTGTTATTTGGATAAAGAGAGAAGCAAACCTTGTCGGAGCTTCGCCTCAACTTCACCGGAGCTCGAAAAAGCAAAGTGAACGCGTCCTCAACTTTTGCGGCGATGAGAAATATCGTAAATCCTTGTGGTTTCTTTCTTTAGAGCCCCTAGGACTAGATGTTAGATGATTTAGGTTAGGTTTGTTTGTGCTTAGAGGAAACCTCCTAGGATTATAAGCTTTTGTGATCCCCTTGTGAATTGAATGAGCAAAACCAAACTAATTTTCTTTTATACCATAAAATTTGAATGTTGGGATCATCGTAATCCCACATTTGTGCCGGCGATGTTGTCCTCATGATGGAAGGAATAAAATCCACAGTTTGGAAGTAGAGTATGGAAAGTCTCAAGTCTTTGTTCTCCTCTACACTGTGAAGGTTTTACCCACATAATTCCTTCATGTTGGGCAAATGAAAGTGGTCGTCTGTCGTTTTGTGTGACACCCGCTTTGTTCTGTCGTTTACCCCTAAGGTTTACCCGTGAGATCGTTGCGATGACTTCGTTATTGAACACGATTAAATCTCCATTTTTTAGCATGTGTTCATATTTGCATTAAGTGCATTGCATGGATTTTAAAATCACATCAAAATATCATATTCGTCAACCCTTCTTCGTCGGCTCAATCGATCAACCATGACCAGTCTGATTGGTCTGACTTACACTTTTTCACGACATTCCACATTGATTTGATCGACCACTTCTATCGAATCAACGGATCGGTCACCACCAAACCGATTGACTGACTACGTCAGTTTGATCGATCGCTTCTGTCAGTTCCATAGATCGGCCGTCACTAGCCTGTTCAGCTCCATGGACCACTCTAGCTCGGTTGACCATTCCTCATCGATTGACCGCCTACGTCAGTTCGATCAGCCACTTCCATCGGATTAACAAATCGGTTACCCTAGGTCCAATCGTATCGATCGACTTCACTTGAATGTTGTATGATTGCATCTTTGTTTTATATTTCTTGCATGAACATATTCACTCATACACCCCTTGCTCCACATGTGATCATATGCCCCCATATGCTTGTGGTGGATCTATGCCCTACTTGGGCACAACACTTGGGGCTCTTTCCTTGACTTTCTCATATCTCACCATACATCACATCTTTCGTGTTTGCATTTGTACTCGTGCGCCTTTGCATGTTCTTTTGCATAACATATTCTGTGTTTGCTTGTCATGTGTTTGAGTCACTGTCCTTGAACACTCATGTGTCTTCTTCGGGGATGGCTTGCACACCTAGCCTGCCCATTATGTAGTCCTCCCCTAACGAGGATGGCACTCATCCTCGAGTCACTACTCCTCACACACTCACCCTTCTAAGTCACTGCTCCTCGGCACACTCACTTCCGAGTCACTGCCTCCTCAGCACTCACCCCTAAGTCACTGTCTGCTCGACACATCACCCTGAGTCACTGTCTTCTCCACACACACATCTCATATTTATTATTTGTTTTGCATGCACATTATCACATCATCGACGCATTTGTCATTAGTATGTGCCATCGTATACTGGTGAGGAATATTTGATATCTCATGACAACACCCTACACTGTCACATTACACTGGATCATGTTGCATTTGCATGTTTATTTTTCAAACGTTTTGATGTCAAAGCTGGCTCATTAGCTGAGTGATCTATGCTAGTCACAATGCGACAGCTAGTATTGCCCGTGAAGATGTCTTAGTGGGTAATACTAGTTATCACACTATGAACCAACACATATATGTTGTGTTAAGGTTCCAATGGGTCTAATAGATGTCACTTAAGCTTTCTATTTCTTAGGAACTATTTTAAAAGCATAAAATTTATATTTTTTACTTATATGCATCATATATATTTGAAACTATTTGCATCCCTAATTTAGATAAAACGTGAGGTCAACTTTTTAAAACCTAATTTTTCTTTTTACAAAAAACTTGCATCTAGTCGTTCCTCTTAGAATCCTTAGATCCTTAAGACAGAGCTGGAGATGGCGAACCCGTCAAAACATACGTCCGCCTTCTGATATAACTTTGCACTGACTTAGATGTTGTGCTAAGACACTATGTTACAGGGTGTGCTGGGATAAGGACTAGGATGCTAGATAATCATTTTCAGTGTCCTGACTATAGCTCTCTGCTAGTTTGGTTGCTCTAGTCAGGCATCACCTTTTGTGCATTTGGTGTGCTTGCATGTCAGCCAATTTTGAGATGTGTGTAGTAGTATATTAGGTTGGTTTTCTTATAGAGAGATATGCCTAAACACAGAAACACGTGTAGCAAGGAGGAGCAATTAATGACTATGACTAAATCTTTTCTGTATATGCCACTAAGCTCCTCCATCCAGACATGGCTTATATGTGTTACATGTAGGTGGCTTTATATATTGACCAAGTTTTCATGCAGGTTGGGTCTTTTTTTTTACTTTTATTATGTATTTTTTATATTCATTAGTAGAGTCTGTATTTGAAATAAGTTACAGACATGGGTTTCGAGAAGCTAGACGAGTGGAACCACGTGATGGGGACCGTGAGCAGCTTGCTCGTGTCTTGTACTTTACTTTTAAATCTCATTGATTTATAGAATTAGGAGCAGGTGTGTACTTATGCAGGGCATGACCATCTTTTTCTGTTTTTAAGATATGTTACCAACCTAGTGACATCCAACCTTTTATTATTTTATATCTGGCTTGCTTTACTATTTTCCTTGCATGCTTGTGTGCTTGAAATTGGTTTTGCCCTTTTTACCTCGTGATTTTGTATGAGAATCATGTGGATCACTTAGGCACTTTATGATCTATGATTTTATAAACTTTCAACAAAAGTTTAATAACAAAATTTTGAGACTAATGAAAAATTATGCTTAAAATATTCATGATTTTTCAAAATTTTGCACTTTGCTTTCTGCATGGTATTCTTGCCTGATTTAAAATGGTTTGCATGCAACTCAGTCATAATTAATAGGGCATGTACATTAGGCCTCATTAGATAATT